TTCCAATCAACTCACTGTTCCATCAGCATTGCGGGTATGTATTTTTGTGAATACAATTACTATGTACCTCCAGAATGTAGAATCAGTAACTACCTTTCGTAACTCTTGGTATTTACTTTTAGAATTAATATATAACCATATTAAAACATTTAGTGTAGCACAAATTATAGATTTTTCTACATTATTGTAAGATAATATTTACCATCATATAGACTTTGAAAATATTTACAATATGCCCGAATATACTGTACATTATTATCTACGCTTATCAAAGGCACAATGCCAATAAATTCTGTCTGAAGTGCCCAAAATGTCAAGTAAACATAGCGGATGCTTTGCACTTGCTGTATATTTGATGAAAGTAAGAACAGGAGATAGTGATAAATGCATATAGGCATTATTGCAAGTACCAAGAAACAAATTAGAGCGGCTCATGAATATGGCCCAAAAAATATTAAATCAGGATGTTGTTCCTATGAATTTTATCCATCGTTACCACTCTCTGTGCCAAATTCTATTCAGTAATTATGATATTATATCTGAGGCAAATAATTTCTTAGCTTTCCTAGATGTTTTTGTTATCCAAAATCCTAACAACATCATAGGTCACACTGTGTATAGAAAAAAGACCCATACAAACTGATATTTAAGCGGTGAATCTCACCATAATCCTTCACAGTTAGTTACCATGAGCAAATCTTTGTTACAGAGAGCATATGGGATCTGTGAGAACAAGCACCTGGCCGCGGAGCTTCAGCACGTCAAGCAGGTTCTGCACAAAATCAAGCTTCGGGTCCCACGTCTTCGTCACAGTGACCGAGTGAAGCCGACCGCAGTTGAGCGTGTGCCTGCTGTACTACCGTATGTCAAGGGTGTCACCCCAACCAGATAGACATACATCAGATTTGATAGACCACAAATCCTCGTTAAAGAACATTAATTCCTACCAAGGATGATATGTGAGGCTACTGAAATTAAAAAACATCCTAATTTCAGTAGAGAAGGCGGTTGGCTACTACCACCTGCTTGGGACACTATAATTAATAAAATTAAAACAAACCCCAAGCATACCACTGCAAGACTTAAAGATAGAGTAAGTTCAATCTGCGTAGATTGGACTATAAAAATAATAATAAAAAGCTGAAGGTACTCCATGTCCCAATACTGACATTGGAATGGCAGTCACCTCAGTACCCCGTGACCATGGGTGCTATAAAGCACCTGAAACGTCAGGAATTAATAATAATAGTATAATAATAATATAACCATTTATTTCCGAACTTTGGGGTTACATAATATTTGTGTTTGAGTTCCTATTGTAATACTAGTTAAAGTAAGTCCCTCTGTTCGGTGTGCCTTTTGGCATAGGCCTCCAAAAGAAAGATCACGCGTCGGGAATTAAAAGTTAAAGAAATTAAAAGCAATAAAATTGGTAAAAGTAGTCGTTAAAAAACTGTATTTGTGAAAATAAAAAGCATTTTATATCATAAAAATCCCGACTTTTTTTAAACCAATTCCTTAACCATTTCATTATTTTAATTGCATATTATCATTTCCATATGCTTTTATATGTGGGCACCCATGGCCGAAGTGTCTATGAACAGTGGGCATCCCCCTTTATACCGATGGCAGTAAGATTGACGGGAAAGTCGGCGCTGCATTATCCATATGGAATAACGCAGCGGAGACGAGTTACCGAAAATTAAAGTTGGGGAATTTCTGCACCGTCTTCCAGGCTGAGTTGCTGGCCATTTTGGAAGCAAGTAGGCATGCTCTTAAAGACCCGGCAGAGAGCTGTAGTATATATAGCGACTCTAGATCTGCTCTCCAGACAGTCGTCCAAAGCGTTTCCCTCCATCCAATAGCGGTTGAAATTAGAGAAAATATAAGCAAAATGTGCAAACAAGGGAAATCTCTCAAACTTTATTGGGTAAAAGCACACGCAGGTTTGGAGGGAAACGAGAGAGCAGATCTACTAGCTAAAGAAGCCGCAACAAAAATTAAATGTAAGCCACACTACGAAAAGTGTCCGGTATCATTCGTCAAGGGACAGATTCGTCTGGAATCGCTTGACGAATGGAATCGACTATATATGGAAGGAGAAACGGCTTCCACCACCAAGGTGTTTTTCCCGGATGCCGTGAGTGCATACCCTACTGTACGGAAAATAGAAATGGATCCTATTATTGTACAAGTGATGACAGGACATGGCGGGTTCTCTGAATATTTATACAGGTTCAAATGCAAGGAGAGCCCGTCATGTATCTGCGATCCAGAAAATGAGGAATCCATTATTCACCTCATAACAGAGTGCCCTATTTACTGTAAAGAGCGAATGGAATTAGAAATAGAAATTAAGGTAAATAAAGAAAATGTACATAAAATCATAAGTAATAAGTATGTCAGAAATAGGTTTTTAAGTTACTGTAAAAATATAGCAAATAAGGTAGTAAATAAGAATAAATAAGAGTAGAAATAAGGGAAACTGTACATAATATATATAAAAATATATATTGTAAACAGTCCATGATAAATATAAATAAGAATAGCTAGTTAATAATAATAAATAGTAGCAAGTAATAAATGTACCTAGAATTAATAAGAAAAGAAAACAAAAAGGAAAAACCTAAAAAAGAAATAAAGAAACCAGTAAAAAACGAATAAAAAAGCATAAAAAATAATACAAAACATAATAAGGACAAAATAAAAACAAAAAAGCAAAAATATAACAAAAAAGAAAGAAAAAGTCCTTGATTTCCACGTCAGGGGAATCAGATTAATAAAAAAAAAAAAAAAAAAAAAAACCTAACCTAACCTAAAGAAAACTCCTATGAGAAATTCATGTTTTGAAAAAGCAATATGAATATCTGTGACCAAAGTACTAAGGCTATCCATGGTACTTAAACCTTTTCGGAAACCGAATTGGCTTTTAGGTAAGAGATTATTCTTTTCCAAAAACCACTCCAAGCGATTTTTTATTAAATGTTCCAAGATTTTTGCCAAAGTACAAGAAAGGGCAATAGGTCGGTAACTGGAAGGGTCATTGCTAGACTTACCTGGTTTGAGAATGGGCAAAATAATTTGGGTTTTCCATTCAGCAGGAGGATCACCAGTAATATAAATAAAATTTAAAATGGATAGTAAGACAGTTTTAGTGTTCTCACTACTATTAATTATAAACGAATAAGGAATCCCATCAATACCTGGTGAGGAGTCTTTAAGGCCATTGAGTACAGTAAACGATTCCTGAGAAGAAAAGGGGGAATCAAATTTATCATTTGTTTTTAAAAAACAGAATTAAAAACTAGGCAATCATCATAAGATGGGACTGTTTGTGGTGCAAGTTTATTAGAGAATTCATCTATCCACGGGGAAGGATCATTAGAAATTATATTTTCACTAGAAACTGCACAGCGATATTTTTTAACATTTCTCCAGACCAAAGATGGGGGAGTCCTAGGTGACAGTGACTCACAGAATTTAAACCAACCAGTTCGCTTTTTGAGGACAGTAATTTTAAGGTTTCTGCAGCAATTTTTTTATAGGAGATATAATTTTCTGCAGTCATAGAACGGGAGTATATTAATTCAGCCTCTTTTCTTCTCCTACAAGCTGCTGAACAATCTTGGTCCCACCAAGGCGGGGAAGGATAATTATTTGAAAGGTTTTTTTAAGGGGATTGACTTATTAGCAGCAGAAATAATTGTATTTCTGAACTCTATATATACAGGAGCAATATATCATTGTTAATTGGGGGAAGAGTTGAAACCTTTTGTTCCAAAACTATAGAATATAATTGCCAATTAGCTTTGGATAGATTATACTTTAGTCTTGGGCAAAATGTAAAATTTATTCTAGGTGAAGTAGGAGGAGTGATGAATAAAGGAAAATGGTCACTGCCATAGCTAGAAGGTAATATTTGCCACAAAAGAAGGGAAGCAATATCTGGGGAACAGAGAGTTAGGTCAATGGCACTTCTAACATTTTGTAATGGGGATACTCACAGTGGCGAAGTGGCGCTCGAGCCGTTCGTACGTGTATCGTTGCGCGCACGGTTATTATCGGCTTAGGAATTTTTTACCTGCGTTTACGGCTTGGCCAAGCGGGGCCGGCCGTTCAGTTGAACAATAATGGAGGCTGATCGTCTTTCTACTGAGTCAGCGGGGTAAGAACCAATGCTAGAGGAAATGTCGAATCTAGCCAAATATTGGACAAAAGAGGTAGGAATACTTCGCCTTCGGACCTTTAAATCGAACAAAAAAAAGCTAAAGGATGTGAGCAAGAAGGAGACTGGGAAGAAGTGAAAAGCAGAAAAGAGAAATCTAAAGAAATAAGAGGTAGTATTGAAATATGTATAACGTCTAAAGAGAAGTTCCCGAAACAGTTTGCCCTTGCCAAGTTATTTAAAAATCAGAACCTAAACATTGTGCGAGTAAAATATATCAATTCATACAAAATAATTGTAGAACTATACGGAGAAAAAGATGCTGATTTATTGATACAGTGTGATCATCTTGTGGAATTGGGCTGGAGGTTTCAGCGACCATTTGAAGTAGGACTCTCTTATGGTGTAATTAAGAACATCGAATTAGATCTATCAGAAAAAGAACTGTTAGAATCTTTTTCTTGCTCAATTGAGGTGGCCAACGTGAAACGACTCAAACGCAGAAAGCAGGGGGGATGGAGAATCTGGCTGGACTGAAAGTGAATCGGTACGAGTTGGTTTCATAGGGTCTACGTTACCATCGTATCTGTGCATATATGACATGCAAGTTAAGGTGGAGCCATACCTATTTCCTGTTACTCAGTGTTCGAGATGCTGGCGCTTTGGGCACACCCTTAGAATGTGTCCTTCAAAACGTATATACTGCCCCAAATGTGGAGGTAAGCATGAAAATTGCGAAACAACAATATTTAAGTGTATTAATTGTACGAAAAATCACATGGCATTGAATCGTCAGTGTCCAAAATATATAAAGGAGAAGAAGTTACGGGAAATAATGGCTGAATTTAATGTTTCATACAGGAAGGCTATGGCAATGTATGTACCGCCCGAAACACCTACTTATGTGCCAACTCAATCGTCAATGCCCCGTTTAGGTAATTTAAATAAGATGCCTCAATTGCCGGAACCTATCCCAGGAACCACAAATAAGTTTTTTAGCAATATTTTGCCGGTTCAGGGGAATTCTACACCAGTTACTTACGCACAGGCCGTGTCATCGAGCCCCATTAACAAGAACAAACTGGACAGTCGGGGAGAAAAATCTGTTCGAAATGACACAACTAAGAAGATTAAGAAGAGAATTCAAGAACCTAATTTAGAAGAGTATATACATGACGGCAATATGTCGACAGAGTCTGAAAGTAGTGTATGTGATCAACCAGTGTCTGAACAAAACAAAAAAAAAGAATCGTAATGTACAATCTGATATTCCTTTCTTTAATTTATTAAGCCAACTTAAAAGTTTTATCTCTAATGAGAGTAATGAGCCTTTAAAAAGTAGAATCGAGAATGTAGTGCACTTATTTTTTGAATGGATAATCACATGGATATTTAAAAATATCTCGAACTTGTCTTTTTTACAAAATTTACTCGGTAATAATAGGTAAAGACAGCCTTAACATTTTGCAATGGAATGCTCAAAGTATTAAATCAAAGTGTGCGGAATTTGAACAACTCTTGTGTCAGGAGAAAATTCATATCGCCGCGCTCTCGGAAACATGGTTGAATCCTGATATAACACTTAAATTTAGAGAATATAACGTATTTAGACTTGATAGGGCGGACTCTTATGGCGGAGTGGCTTTAATAGTACACAAATCTCTCTCGGCTCAGTTGCTTCCACTGCGAAGTGCCAACGAGGTTATTGAGGTGATATCCGTTAAAATTTCTAATTGTGAAATTGTTGAACATATAATTTCTCTATATTGCTCGCCTAGTGCTCGAACTTCATGTAGTGATTGGGATTCAATATTTTCGTTTTCTGATAAAAAGACTCTAATACTTGGAGATTTTAATGGACATCACCCTAATTGGTCGAATAAAACCGATTCTAGGGGCACACAAATTCTGGACTCATTAGAAGACCATAATTTTGTTTCTATAAACGATGGCAGGCCTACGCGATTAAAATTAGTTGGCGGTATCTTACAACAGTCAGCTCCCGACATTACATTTATATCATCTGATATCGCTTTTAAGTTTAATTGGAATGTTACAAACGAAGTGTTTAGGTAGTGACCACCTAATAATTAAGATTTCATCATCTATGAATCATTCTCCTATTATTCATAAAAGACGAAACTTTAAAAAAGCTGACTGAAATTTCAAGTAATCCACAAGAAGCCTATGATGATTTTATCACTTTGTTGTTCAAAGCCGCAGAAGCAAGTATTCCATTTATTAAAATATGCCTAAATCGCAAGGCTAATTTTATTCCTAAGCCATATTGGACTCCTGATCTATCTCACGCTGTTGCAGAGAGACGACTAGCACTTAAAACATTTAGACAGAATCCCACACCGGCTAATTTAAATAGATTGCAGGAAAAAACTCGCAAGGCTCAAAAACTAATTAGAAACGCTAAAAGTAAAGGATGGTGGGAATTTTGTACGTCCTTGAATGAAATATCTTCAGCTTCTGAAATGTGGAGAAAAATGCAGTGGTTAAAAGGTTATAGATCAGCTAAACCACAAATTGAAAAAAGTATTGCTGAGTCATTATTGTGCAACTTAACCCCTGACTATGTAAGTCAACCCTACCCAGGTTACACATCTCAAAATCCTAAATTAGAAACCGAAATATCTAGATCGGAGCTTTATAAATGTTTAAAATCTAAAGACAGGTGCCCGGGCACAGATGATATCTCTTATTCAATGTTACTTAATTTACCTATAGTGGGCCAAAACGTTTTACTCAATCTTTATAATATATTTTTTACACAAAGCTTTGCTCCATACCAATGGCGACAGGTTCGCATTATACCTATACCTAAGTCGGGTAGGAACACTAATTGTACTTCATCTCTTAGACCTATTTCTCTTATTTCATGCTTATGTAAAGTATTTCATGCCATTATCAATAACCGTATAGAGTGGTATATTGAAAACAAAAAACTACTTTCTGAGGAAGCTAAAGGATTCAGAAAATCACGTTCCTGTCACGATAATTTAACCGATTTAGTTACAAGCATTCAAATAGGTTTTACAAAAAATCTTTTTACAGTAGCATGCTTTTTAGACCTAGAAAACGCATATAATAATGTAGACATAAATTATCTTTTATCGACCCTCGATCGCCTTAATGTTGGCGCAAAATTTTGCAACTATCTCTGGACTTATTTAAGCCAAAGATTTTTAATAATTGAAGGGATAGATTATAAAATAACTAGAAGTACAGGTCACGGTCTAGCACAAGGAGATCCACTTTCTCCGCTATTGTTTAACATAGCTACAATAGATATATGTAAGTCTATAATTTCCAAAACACATCTTAATATCTCCCAGTATGCTGATGATTATGTCATATTTATAACTTCTAAAAACTTGAAAGAGGCGGAAAATCAACTGCAATTGGCATTAGACATTTTAAATGATTTATTTTTTAACTATAAATTTGGATATCTCACCGTTAAAAAGTAAAATATGCACCTTTTCAAGAAGGCGTCGACAACATAACATTAGTCTAAAAATTAAAGATGTTGCTTTGGAAGTAGTAGATAGCGTAAAATACCTTGGAATGTGGCTGGATCGATCACTGCGGTGGAATAAACATATAAAGGAAACATCTGCAAAAGTATTAAAATTTTTAAATGTATTTAAAGTTTTATCAGGTTCGGGCTGGGGTGTCCACCCTAAACATTTACGGAACCTCTATATTAGTATTATAAGAAGTCGGTTAGATTATGCGAGCTTTTTGTATGATAACAGTAGTAAGACTAATTTAATTAAGTTAGAAAAGATTCAAAATCAGTCGATGAGAATTATAGGAGGTTATACAAAAAGCACCCCTATTCACGTAATGGAAAGCGATCTCAGCTTATGCCCATTACATTTAAGAAGACGCTACCTTGCAGGCAAATTCTGGTTAAAAAATAAATCCGTGTTAAATAACTCTTCCATTAATCTTATCTCTAACCTAACCGATACCATTCAAAACAGGTATTGGATTAATAAGAAAAAACCATTATTAAAAATAATCCATGACAACTTCAAATCACTTTTTATATACTCAAGCTCACAGTTAGGTATGTTTTCTCTGGATCAGTGGATCACTAGTTTAAACCTTTCAGATATTTTAAGACCAAATATAGACGGAGTTCTAAACCCTAAACATCAGTACCATGTAATGACCATAAAAAACATATGTATTAATTACCTAAACGAACATTACCCGAATTATCTGAGGATATTTACAGATGGTTCGAAAGATAATTTCGGAAACGGGGCTTCATTTTACGATATATTAAATGATATGGCAATAAAGTTAAAAATTAATACTAATATTTCTATTATGGAAGTTGAACTTGCAGCAATCTATGAAGCTTTATCCTATATACAATCATGTAACTATAACAATGTGGTTATTTTAACAGATTCAAGGAGTGCGCTTCAACACCTTGCTCGGTGTACTTCGGTTTTTCGAGGCTAGCATATGCGATTTTGAAGCTTCTAGTTAAGTTGCAGGCTGACTCCATAATAGTACATTTACAATGGATACCTTCGCACATTGGCTTAGAGGGTAATGTAAAAGCTGATATTTTGGCCAAACAAGCTATTTCGGAAGGCACTGATATTAATATTACCCCTTCATTTCAAAACTATATACCGTTATTAAAAAAAAATTGTTATGACCTTAGGAAGGAATATTTTGATATAAGAGCAAAAGAGAAGGGTATATGGTACCGTACGATCCAGCCGTTTCCAATGCGCTCAACCTGGATAGATAACCGAATATTGTGTAGACGCGGCACTGTAACAGAATTAAGACTCAGATCTGGGCACATTCCATGCAATAAATTTTCATACTTGATACGAAAAACTACCTCACCAAACTGTTCAACTTGCAACATATTGATAGAATGTGTCCAGAACTCTGGAGAAAGAAAAAATTGTAATATACATTTATCATTGATTGGCAGTATTAATATTATTTTATCAGACCCGTTATCAGAAGATGCCAAAAAACTTTATGTGTTAGTAAATAAGAGATTAAGTAATTAATAAGTTTATATAGTTGTTAGTATTTATCCTATTTAAGAATTTTCTTGTACCAGGGCGTCATAATCGCTTCAGCGACAAAGCCCTTTTTTCTAAGAATAAAAAAAAAATGGGGATACTCGACGGGTAGGAGACCCGTCATTTAGAATACAGAGATTAAAATTATCAATAAGATCTAAAAATAAGGGAGCCAGTGAATCACACAGATGGGAGCCCCAAACAGTATGATGCATATTAAAATCTCCCAAAATAACCATAGGAGGTGACAGAGAAGAAATAAGTGTTGCAAGTTCTGTTAAAACATTTATATCAGGATTAGGAATGTAAACAGAGAGAATAGAGACATCAAGGGCCTTAATAGCAACAGCATTTACTGCTGGACTATGAGAAAGGAGAGGAATTTGTGAAAATGTAACTGTTCTTGAAATTAAAATAGAGGTGCCAGCACGACCATCATTCTTATCATCCCGGAGGCATGCGTAGCCTGAAACCCTAAAATGAGACTCAGGCCTAAGCCATGTCTCCTGGATGGCAAGAATGAAGGGATGAAGTTTATTAATGAGGTAAGTGAGTTCATTTTTTTTATTTCTAATGCTCCGACAATTCCATTGAAGAATTGGTGGGACTGCGAATGTTACGGGCTAAGGAGGAAAGCTGAGTAAGTTTTTGGTGTAAGCTGAGAGGAAGTTCCGTGTCACTAAAACGAGAGATCATGTTAATTAGCATTGATATCATAAGTTCGCAGAAATTATCATTACTAGAGGAGTTGTTGTCATTTCCCAGTAGAGCACATCCATTAGGAAGGGAAGAATTAGGATTCTCAACAATTGCCTGATGGTCTGCCATATCATATCCATAATTTAATGATTGGCTGCAGGTACGTTGAGGGATAAAAATTGTTTTTTTATATGATGCAGTTTGTGAGAGCTGAGCCGAAGGGGTTGAAAGACTGTCAGTTATAGTATAAGGGGTCTGTTGAGAACTATTACGAGGCTGGATTCTTGTTGTATCAGCAAAGGATCTTTTTGTCTGAGGGAATCTAGCTGAAGCTTCTAAATATGAAATATTTTCTTGTGACATAACAAGTTTAATATATTTTTGCCTTAGAGGTTCAGGACACGTAGGGTCTTTTGCGGTGTGGGGACCAGAGCAGAATAGGCAAGTAGGAGTTTGTCGAGTACAAGATAAACCTTCATGA